GTCTTACTGATGCCTGCTGAGTGGTTGAATGTGTGTAAATTCCTGATATTGTTGAAGACATATACTCGTATGAAGTCTGTTTTGTCAGATTTGAAGGTGTTCTTCGTTTGTCTTGTACAGAAACTGACTTCAGGGGTACATTTTTCTACAGTGATTTATAGTTTACTTGTATTTGTTGTAACACTTAAAACAAATTTTTAACAATCTGTAGTTTATGTGAGAGTCATTTAATTAATTGTTATTAACTCTTGTAATTTTAAAGAGCAAGTGAATCTTTAAAACAATTACATATAATGTGTAAATATGTACTGAGGTTGACATGCAGCATGTAAATAAACTGGCAGCTTTCAGAAAATTGCTCCATTGTTTGGGTTTTACTGTTATACATTGTTCAGATTAATGTTTTATTTACTCCTTTGTGATAGCTCATAACTCTTTTATTAAGGCATCAACAAATAACATGTGAAAAAAATATGTTTTTAAAATTATGTGTTTTTTAAGATAATGTTAATGAGTTAGGTTTTTATGATAGAGGCCTAAGATTTTCCCTTGTTATGGAAGAAATCGTTACGAAATAAAAAGAAATTTGAAGCGTGAGGTGTAAACATATACCTTTGAATAAAAATTCTAATGAAAAATGCTCTTCAGAATTGAATAACATTCAGATTTTTAATTCAGATTGGTAATGTGCAACGTGAGATTCAACCCGGTTTTATTTATAAGCAAATAAAGAAATACACAGTATATTCTTCTGACTTATCACTATTGACCCCCAAGGTGGAAGCAGGATGTTTCGCTAAAATGTTGGTGTCCATCAACACTATTTGCCATGTGTCAGCCCAAAAGATTATGATATGAACACTAATGGCTGTGAAAACCTGGAAAACTTATCTTATTTCTTCTAGTTGCCTACCTACTATATTGATGAATTCCTGACATTTCTGACAATCAAGACCAATTGAAATGGGATACAGATGATTGCCATGACATTCCTATTATGTTTTCTATGTCCTTATTGGGGTATGCCAGTGTAGTGTTTTAATATTGGTCGTGAGCGCTCCGTCATCTCTCTCAGAGAATCATCAAGGATCACTCTGCCATGTCTTATTTTAAATTTAAAAAAACTTAGGAGTTGATAGAATGTCGGAAAATAACTTTTAAATAAAGGCANAGGGGTGGGGGGTTGGAAATATGTTTCTACATCATAATTCTTAACTCCATACAAATGAATTCCTGAAACTACTTTGTAATTTTTTGTTTTGTAATATATACACGTATTAGTCGTTTCTCAGGACTTTTCTACTAATCTGGAGCGTCTATCTGATTAAGAAATCTGTTTCCACCAAAGGGTATTATTCTCTGTTAATGTTTGATAGGCCACCGTATAGATTAATTTGCTAGGGTAATCTTGAATTTGCAATTTCTTTCTGTGCTCGTGGACTGTTGTCCTGCTTTGCCACGTCTACGACATGTTTCAACTTTATAAGGCCCAAAATCGGGCAGATACTTTTATGTAATTGTTGCTTTGTGTTGCATTTCTAATTTATTGTTCTAAAACTTGGTTGAAACTCCTAAACATTAGTTAAAACTTATTCTTTTTTCGTATACTTCTCGTTGCAAGCACTCCACGGATTCTTGGGTTGTGTGTGGAGTCCTGTTACGGTGTAGAGCGGTTGTATTACGTGTGAGGTCTGCAGTCAGTATTGCATAATATTCTTTGAACATATAAGAGTAACATAATGAGATGTGTTATATTTATTATCTAATATATGTGTGTGTATTATTTTTTGTAGTTATACTTAGCGTATTTTACGAAATACTACGTCGTACTGAATATGGACCTCAGAACCGCTTTCACCATAACAAAAACATAATCCAAGATATTTTAACTAATTTTAACGAAATTCAACAATAATTGGAACTAGTTTCAGTCACGTGTTAGAGCAGTGAACTAGAAAAAAAAAACAATATAATGCTGCAATTATTTAAAAGTATCTACCCGATTATGAGCTTAAAAGGCCGAAACATGTCTTACGAGTAACATTTATGAAAGTGACAGTGCAGCAAACCAGCAGTCTACTAGCACGGCAGTAAGTTGCATCTTCAAGAGGGCCCCTTGAAACTGAACCAGTAACCAGTGCAACAGGGTGCTGAAATATATTATGAACACTATATGGATGTTGGGTTTGAGGTTGTCATGGTGACTATGAATTTAATGGATTTAATTCCGTGTAGTTCGGAGAGAGCCTGACATTTCGGAGGAGCATATCACCTCCATCTTCAGGACTGAATATTAGCTAAGCAAGAAACTTGCTTGCTGCCTGCTTTTGTTGGTTTCTTGGTTGACTTACATTTCGATCCCAAAGATGGAGGTGATATGCTCCACTGTAACGTCGGGCTATCTATAAAGGACATGGCGTTTCAACCCAGAAGATTGTAGAATCTTTTAGATCATATGGCAACTATCCATCCTCGAACAATAAACAAATAAATCTACGTTTAATGAACGTATTATTACTAATGCAAATTTTTGCAGCTGGCACCATCTGTTACAGGCGACGCAACTAGTTGAACACGAATCTCTATGTGGAACATCGAATGTGTCCCACAGTTTATCCGGTTCAAGCGTTAGTTTCCTGGTTACATACTGAGCTAATGCTGTAACGTCAGCTAGTAGTGTTGTTGTTGTTGTTGTTGTTGTTGTTGGAGAGGGTGGGTTTCCCCATGCACTTAGACCAATATTGGTCTATTGTGCGTCCCCCTGTGATATTCTACCAGTCTTTATACCCTACCGGTATTGGTGCGTGCCATCAGTCCCGACTCAGCCAGCGAGTTCGGCCTCTACTGGCTCAGCGGTATCTCGATGCTTCCCCCATCTACCAGAGGCGTTAGAGACTAACGTTGGGCGGGAAATGTCCTGAATTTGGCTCAGAGGTCCCCTTGGGACATGAGGTTCTTTTACGTGCCATAGCTAGTAGTGTAACACAAATATTACTGATTTGTTGGTAAATTTGGAACGAAGTTAAGTTCGCTCATGGGTCATATTTCGCTATAGAAACAGAACGTTAGTCCGAAATCGAAAGAAAGAAAGTAAGGTATTCTAGAACAATGTGGCGTAGCTGGGGTAACCTAAGCTTATAAAGTCGCAACAATTTATGCAGACGGAAAATATTGCAGCGTTTTATTGAAAAGAAACTAAGGGACGGAAGGAGAACTGACCTGACATTCTGAAGTGGAATTATTTCAAGCACCGACTTTTGTATAACTTGTAGTAAGTCCGCATATGTTGAGAAACAAGTGAGTGGCTATGTAAGTTTTGAGGTTTCCACGGAGATGACTATGAAGAAAGTCGTCTTCTGTGATCTGGCGCCGTGTATTCTTGGTTTTCACCGACGTTTCGGAGGAACGTATCGCCTCCATCTTCAGGGCAGGTGAGTCGCGATGTGAATACAGAGAGCAGTAGCTGCAATGATTCGGAAGTGAAGAGCGCTAATTTATATAGGAAGTAGGCAAGGCAGGGGGTAGGGGTTGGGAGAGGGGACCAGTGGGAACAGTGAACAGCGATTAAGGCCATATATGGTCCTGGGAGGGGGGAAAACCGGCCAGTAAATCCAGGCAACTTGGAGGTCAATGGCACATAGGTAGCGGGTAAACAAGAGGAACCGGTTGGCTGGGGACAGGCTACTGACGTCAGTGACATGAAGAACTGGGGTGGCTTTCTGGAGTTCTCTTGAGGGAAGAGATGAGAGGCTTCCATGACTTGTTGAAACAAAACCCTGTTTCCTTGTTCATGTTGTCCGGATGGAGCTCGATCTCAATGGCCTCCATGATGATGCGATTCAGGTAACGGCTCTTACCGGCGAGTATGGCGGTTTTGTGAAACGATACGGCGTTCTAGCTCGATGCTGTGTTCAGCTACGGCTGACTTGTCCGGATGTTCTAGGCGTAAATGCCGTTGATGTTCTTTCAACCTGATGTCCACAGAACGGCCCGTTTGCCCAATGTAGACCTTGCCGCACTCGCAGGGGATTCTGTAAATTCCCGGTGTCCTCAGTCCCAGGTGATCCTTGACAGGCTGGAGGAAATTAGATATTTTCTTAGGAGGCAGGCCAACTGATTTGATGTTGTGTCGGGACAGCACTCTGCTAATCCTGTTGAATATAGTCCCGACAAAGGGAAAGAAGGCGACAGTGTCTCTGCGGTCATCAAGTTGATTGTAGTTGGGACGGCGGTTGAGGGCCCTGTGGATCTGCCGGTCGTTATAACCATTCCGTCTGAAGATGTCCTTCAGGAACTCCAACTCCGCACGCAGGCTGTCTTCATCGCACAGAGCTCTGGTCCTGTGTTCAGCCGTAGCTGAGCACAGCATCGAGCTAGACCACCGTATCCAGTTTCACAAAACCGCCATACTCGCCGGTAAGAGCCGTTACCTGGATCGCATCATCATGGAGGCCATTGAGATCGAGCTCCATCCGGACAACATGAACAAGGAAACAGGGTTTTTTTCAACAAGTCATGGAAGCCTCTCATCTCTTCCCTCAAGAGAACTCCAGAAAGCCACCCCAGTTCTTCATGTCACTGACGTCAGTAGCCTGTC